ACGCTGAGCACTTGTGTGGTCCACTTCAGTTGCAAACATGTTTAAGCCTCTCTCGACAGTTTTCCCTGACTGCTGAGTTTTCTTCTACGCACAGCCAACTTTGGAAGTTGCAATTATTATCTCTTTCGCATAGGGGGAATGTAGATGGTTTGGCGCGAACTCTTATGAGTCATACTTTCTGTGTAAAACTAGGCGCAGAAACGGGAATCACTTCAATCGAATACGCTAACTTAGTGGCGAGAGGTTTTCTACGTCCACTGCATGGATTTTAACGAGTGGAAACAGTGCCATCATACTCAGTGGCTTAATACCACGAATCGCAACTCACAGACCGTTGTCAAGCATTAAAATCGAAGCATAATAATAAAGCAAGGCCACAATCATTACCGATCAAGCCTCTGATGACTATGAAGTCATTAGCCAGGATGCACCACGTAAGGGCGACTGCTATACATACCAGATATCAACAGCATTGAGTTTTACTTATTTAAACTACCGGGGTTTGTTCATGATGATAACGTCAGCAACCATCGATTCGTTGTGTTTTAAATTTTCTTTTTCTCCTAATGAAATATATTCCCTTTCAACGTTTTACGTCCCATCAATCCCTATTCTTTAGTAGTATGTCGATGGCGATATTTGGGTAGTTTGAGATCCAGAGTCCATTGCATCCGAGGATTAGTCAGGTGAGTTTAGACGTCCTTGCGCATGCTTAGATCGGAACCACTCGATCTCGCCAAGCATAATTCGAAATAAAATCTTTCTACTCAGCATTTAGCTTCACTATAAGAAAGGCTTGAATACCAGGTACTCATGAAATTTGAAGTGTAAACATCTGTGTACGGCTTGACAAAGCATTAGGCGATTCAGTTATGAAATGATTCCCAACTAGCCCCAAAACTATCCTTAAGTGGCTTTGTAAAAGTCGTGAACTTACCTCGGAAGGATCGTGGTCCCTTACTAGTCCCAAATTTATCCCGATTTAGTCCCAAAATGGTCCTAAAATAGTCGTGATCTGGGCGTAAGTGGTCCTAAACAGGTCCCGAAACGATCTCGAACAAACCACGATATGGTCCTTAAATAGTCCTGAACAGGTCCCGATATGAGTTCCGGAACTGGTCTCAAAAGTGTTCTGAAGGAGTGCTGTAAAAGTTGTGATATAGTCCCCAAAGGATCTCGATCATGTCTTGAAACGGTCCTTTATTAGTCCCACAGTAGGACCGAACTAATCCCAAATGGTTTCAAAAAACGGCCCTCAGTGGTCCTAAATGGGTCTCGAAATGATCCCGAAAAAGTCCTGATAGGGTCCTTTAGCAGTCCTGAATGGGTCCCAAAATGATCCCATACATTTTTCTTCTTCCCACATCCAGGACTCGACGATGGCAAAGTGCGTGCGCTTCACTGTAAAAGCAACAAGTCGCAAAGTTTATACTCTGCAGAGAGCATTTGCATCGCTTTAGCTTCGAATACCAAAGGCACTGGCTTTCTTTCTGGCCATAACGATGGCACAATAATACGTTACTTCGTCATCGATGATGCCAATGAATCTTCAGGTCGACTAGTACAGCATCCAGTGCCACCTTTTGCTTTGGCTTGGCCACAAGGTGGATTTTGTGCCGGCGGTTGTGACCAGAAAATTGTTTTCTATGACACTGTGGTAAGCTTCTTAAACTGTAGAGAGAAGTTACATATGTATGTATGTTTGAAAAATATCTGCATGTTATAGGGCCGTCCAGTGCGTACATTCGACTACTCTCGAAATGATCGTGAAATTACTGTTGCCGCCGCCAGTCCTAACGGTCAAGCTGTGGCATTTGGCAGCTACGACAAGATACGAATTTTCACATGGAGTCCGCGCTTGTCCGATTGGAATGAGAGCGCAACCAAAGAAATTATGCACTTCTACACGGTCACCTGCGTACAATGGCGACGCGATGGCGCACGGTGAGTCGATGGGGTTTCAGACGCTTATTTTTAATGCATATTTACTTATACTCCTTTCGAAAGCTTGGCAATCGCTTCTGTAACGGGTGCGGTTATACTCTTTGAGTCAGTGTTGAAGCGCACCATCTGGCAAGACAAATTCGAACTGATTTTTGTGGCACCCAGCCAGCTGCTGGTGAAGTCCTTGCAAGAGCCTGCCGAACAGATGACCATCGAATCGCAACTGGGACTTGAGATCGACGACGTGCGCATAATGGGTAAGGACAACTATCTGGTTGCACGCACCGAAGACTCGATGATCTTGTGTGATCTGACGCGCAATTTGGTAAGCGAAGTGCCCTGGACAACATCGGGACGTCACGAACGATTCTATTTCGAGAACCCGAATGTGTGTTTGATTTTCAATGTAGGCGAACTAAGTCTCGTGGAGTATGGCGAAAGCTCGATTTTAGGTTCTGTACGCACAGAGTTCGTCAATCCACATGTTATATCTGTGCGCCTAAATGAACGGGGAAATACCCAGTAAGCTGGGATGAGATATTTTTTTTTTTTAAGAAAGTTTTTATATAAGTAATTTCTTTACAGAAACAATAAGAAACTTGCATTCTTGCTAGACGCCAAAACTATTTGCATTGTTGACCTTATAAACCAACTCATCATTGGACAAGTGAATCACGAGACCAAAATCGATTGGATCGAATTGAGTGAAACGGCGCACAAATTATTGTTTCGCGACAAGAAACTCAGGTATTTATTTATAACATTCGACTTGCTAAGTACTTATTATTAACTGCTTGCTGCTACCAGATTGGTGCTGATCGACATTTACACTGGCAAGAAACAAACTTTACTCTCAAACATCTCATTCGTGCAATGGGTGCCACAAAGCGATGTAGTCGTAGCACAAAACAATAATAATTTAGCCGTCTGGTATAATATTGATCTGCCCGAGCACGTAACGCTAATGGCCATACGCGGCGATGTTATCGAAGTCACCCGTGACTCAGTTAGTATTAAGATCATGGTACATATAACTATAGTTTAACTACTTCCGATTCTATAATTAGGGTCGTACAAATGTGCGTACACAAGAAGGCCCTGCAGAACACACTTATCAGCTGGACGAAGGCCTCGTTGAGTTCGGCACCGCAGTTAACGACAGCGACTTCGGACGCGCAATACACTTTCTAGAGACGCTTGGTGACAAGCCCGCCGCCAAAGCTATGTGGCACAATTTGGCGGTCATTTCAATCGAGGATGGCAATCTTCGCGTTGCGCAGCGTTGTTATGCCGCCTTGGGCAACGTATCTAAAGCGTACTACTTGAATGAAATGATAGAAGAAGCAGACAAATTTGAAGAGACCACGGGTTCTCCCGGTATTATGTGCCCAGAAGTTCGCGCCAAACTAGCGCTCTTGAGTTCCGACTTGCGCACGGCAGAACGCATTTACCTGGAGCAGGGTGATATCGAATCAGCACTCGAAATGTATAAGAAACTTCGTATGTGGGATGAGGCGCTGAACTTAGCTGAGCGACGTGGTTATGGTGACCTACAGCAGCTAAAGCAACAGCAAATGGAGTTTCTTTTAACCACCGGGCAGGAGGAGAAAGCCGGACAAGTGCTGGAAGAGCAAAGCGAACCTGAAAAGGCTTTAAGTCTTTATTTGAAGGCCAGTAAGCCAGCACGTGCAGCGAGGTTGGCCATGAAAACGCCGCATCTGATGGATGATCAGCAACTGATGCTAAAAATCACAGAAGGATTAATAAATTGCGGTAAGTTCTAAACCAAATGTAGACTTATTGGTGCACTTCTGATTCCGTCAAAACCTATAGAACTGTACGAGATGGCTGGCGACATTGCGCTCAAACTATCACGCCCAGAGGCGGCTATGGGCTTGTATCGCAAGGGTGGCGCGTATGCACGCGCACTCGATTTGGCACGTGAAGTTGCACCGGATGACGTCACGAATTTGGAAGAGGAATGGGGCGACTGGTTGGTGGCACGCAAACAGCTAGATGCTTCCATTAATCACTACATTGAGGCAGGCGCCACACAAAAGGCACTCGACGCTGCTGTCGGCGCAAAACAATGGCGCAAAGCCGTGCAAATCGCCAAGGTGCTCGACGAACCAGCGGAAATACAACGCTATGCACTGGATCTATCCAAGCATTTGGCCTTTTCGGGAGATGTTGACGGCGCTGAGGACTTGCTGGTACGCGCTAACATGTATAAAGAAGCAATAGAGTTGCTCAATCGGCATGGCAAGTGGGAACGCGCTTACGCTATTGGCGAGAAATATCTGCAAGTGGATGAAATGCGAGATTTATTTGTAAATTTGGCAACTGGCTTGGAAGAGCAAGGTAAATTAAATGATATAGCTGTTTCTAAATCGCATTTTAAACCAATTTTGTGTTTTACCCTTAAGGTAAGTATCGCGATGCGGAAAAGGTTTTGCTGGCAGTATCCGAACCCGATTTGGCTATTGCAATGTATAAACGCCGCGAGCTGTATGATTCCATGATACGTCTGGTAGAACGTTTTCATAAGGAACTTCTGGATACCACTCACTTGCAATTGGCAAGACAGCTAGAATCCAAAGGGAAGTTCAAAATCGCTGAAGTTCATTTTATAGCTTCAGGCGATTGGAAGTCAGCCGTGCATATGTATTGCTCATCTGGCCGCTGGGAAGATGGTTATCGAGTGGCTAAGCAAAAAGGCACTGATGGCGCCAGTAACCAGGTGGCTTACATGTGGGCGAAGTCGATGCCGATCGAGAGCGCTGTCCGCTTGCTCACCAAGTTGGGTTTGCTGGACACTGCTGTGGGATTCGCTTGTGATTCTGGGCAGTTCGATTTCGCCATGGATCTTTGTCGTTTATCTGGTAAATCCACGGATGAAGTCCACATGAAAATCGCTATGTCCCTTGAGGATGAAGGCAAGTTCGAGGAAGCCGAAGGCGAATTCATCAAAGCCAATAAGCCCAAGGAGGCGATACTGATGTACACCCATGCAGGTGATTGGAAAGCGGCCTTAAACGTGGCTGAGCAATATTTGACAGAAGCTGTCAATGATATATTAATTGGGCAAGCATCCGCTGCTTTGGATACACGCAACTATCCCGACTATGAAGCTCTACTGCTGCGTGCACAACGTCCCGATTTGATCATAGACCATTACAAGAATGAGGGTATGTTCGATGAAGCGCTGCGCATTGCCGAGGAGCACTATCCGTCGGCAATGAATGATCTACGGCGTCTGCAAACGCAAGAGCAACGCCGAAATAACGAACATAATGACGATTCGCGTGCTTACCTGCAAAAAGCAGCCGAATTCGCTAAGCGTGAAGAATTTCGCAAGGCCGCTGAGTGTCTAATGCAAATTAACTCCACCAATACCGACGATGAAACCACAGTGGAACGCGCTCTACTCAGAGCCGCTGAGATATGCAACCAATTTTTGGAAGGCAAAGATGCAGTCAACGTAGCAACTCAGCTAGGGCCACGTCTACTACAAATCAAGCAAATCGGGCCAGCAGCGCAGCTGTATCTAGCTGCTGATATGCCCAAAGACGCCGTAGAGGTTTTCATACGCGCCGAGCAGTGGTCGAAGGCACGACGCCTAGCAAAGGAACTAGATCCAGAGCTGATGAGCTATGTAGAGCAGCAGCAGAAATCGCGCCTTAAGACCGAAGGCAATGTAGAACAGTTAGCTGACATAGGTAAGTACGTACTTTAATTGTGGACACTTTAGATATATTCAAAGCGTGTGCACTTCATTCTCTTCAGACGTCATGAGCGCTTTGGACATGCTAGCCGAACAAGGCCAATGGATGCGCTGTCTTGACAAGGCGAAACAGATAAACGCTGCAGTTTTACAGAAATATGTCGCTCTCTATGCAGCCCAACTCATACGCGAAGGTGATTGTCTCACAGCATTGAGTCTCTATTTTACTTATGGCGCGCCACCTCTGGAGGCCAATTTCAACATCTACTCTCGCATAGCAATGGATTGCTTTGCTATACGTGAAGACCAGGCCAAGGAGGATCAGTGGCGGAATTTGCGAGATTTCCTTTACAAACTGCTGAAGTCACTGCAATCTTCTGAGCATGCGCAGGCAAAAATTACCAACAACATTGAGAAATTTTTACTGATTAGTCACTACTACGCTGTGCGTTCCGCTTGTCGACCCGTGCAATCCTTACAACCAATCGCCGCTCGTATTTCAATCGCTTTGTTGCGCTACACGGACATCATACCAGTGGACAAAGGTTTCTATGAAGCAGGCACCGATCTGCGTAATGCCGGCCGCGAAGCGGAAGCTTTTGTTATGCTCAACCACTATTTGGATGTGTGCGAAGCCATTGAAGAGGGCTCTGGACATCTTGTAGATCATTCCGATTTGGCAGCTACTGATTTTCCAAGTTCAGTGCCACTACCAGAAGACATACATCTTAAAAATGATCCTAGTCTGCATGAAGAGGTACGCGAGTGGGTGCTAGCCATAAGCATGGATCAGCAAGTTGATCAGGTATGGTTTACATACATACGTCTGTATATTGATGCATTTCAAAAATCGTGTTCAAAATGCTATTTTTTGGAAAATTAATTTAAGGTTCTACCCACTGACGACCGTGGCCTATACGAATCAGCACTCGGGCCAGATGAAGTACCTTGCATATTAAGTGCCTATCCTGTACGTAGCCGTCAGCCGGTCACCTTTCAATCGTCGAGCCGTCAAGCGAATCGGGATGTTTGGAGCAAATTTACTGTCGCACTTAAGATGTCGCCTGGCAGCAAAGTGGCAGACATTATTGCATTCGTTGAGAAATGGAATGGTCAGGCTAATTCTTCAATGCATTAA